GGGGAACCTTTGTTCTAAACCTCAGATACACGTTCAGCAATTCATTAGGTGTTAAGCCAATTCATTCGACCAATCAGAGGTAAATAGGTGGGGTGGGGATGTGATCAGTCTAAATCAACATAATTAGATGATCAATGTGAAAAATGTAAACTTCTCCCACCGAACACGACCAAAGCCTCCCTGCCAACGGAAAAATGACATTGGCAGTTCTCACTCGCTATGGATTGGTTAGAGTAAAATCAAACAAAATAACTCCCCTCCTAGCAAGGTATCGGTTAATGAACACAATGTCAGATTGAATAAGGTGAAGCAATATGGCAGTTTTGTCTGACTGTCAGGCTACTGAAACTGAAAACAATGTACAGTTTGATTTGAAAGATTTTAGCACCATTTGTTGGTAAATCAGTATTTAACATTGTAAGCACATGTTGCCTGCAAAGAGGTGCAAGCAACCTCCCACACATAATTGAGACAAGGAACACCATAACATCATGTCATTCCTGTCATATGGAAAACCAACCAACCAGCACAGGTCAGAGTTCTCAACAATATAGAAATTCAGCAAAGGAAGTACTCTCTGGATCCTTCTGCCTCCATCTGAGCCAAGAGCTTTATCCCCACTGACAGCTGTCCACTCACCTTGTTAAGAACAAGGGGGGAGATGTGAGGGTAGGGTGGGTGAGATCATTTTCTCTTCATAGAGGCACATATTCTATTTGGAGTGAAGCAGAATAGATTTGTAAGGAAGGGGATATTTGATGTAGCAGGAAAATGGCATCCTAACCTACTTAGAGCACCAGAAAAGTCTAGAAAACACCTCAAATAGTGTTGTATAAATTCTTAATCACAGGCTATATTTATTGCATATATAAATATAGTCTAAAAACTCCAGCCATCCATTGGATTAGCCTTTGTAAATCCTATTTGGGCCCCAGTCTGGAAAAAGATGTAAAGTGAACAGAGGGAATCCATGATAGAATTGGGTTTAAAAGTGACACTGAGATGGACAGAGTGACGTCAGATTAACCAGAGAGATCGAAGCCAGGCAGAGCTAAAGGAATGAAAGAGGGTGAATGAGAGCGCGAGGCTTATTGAACAGATCCACACATGAGCCGGCATCCTGACTCACTGGCCCAGTTTACCTCCTTATGCAACAGGCCAGTGGAGTCCATTCACCCTCTCTCCTCTCTCATCACTTGCTTCCAGGAAGGGCAGAGAAGGGTGGGGGCTGTTGTCTTGTAGAGAGTGGAGGGTGAAAGGGAGAGCAATGGGGTGCAGCTGCAGATGAGGGGGACGGATGAGGAAGGACTGGAGTGGAACAGAGATGGAGGGAGTTTTTAGCCACACAGTATGGCTTTGCCAGCATCCCTGCATGGTTGCTAAGGGAACCACTTATTTTTCGTGAAGTCTCTTTCACACTGACTCTTTCCCTTCAACATACACTCTGCCTCTATCATTTCCCTTTCTCCTTCTGTTTTAGGACTGCTTTTCTAAGCAGACAGTCAAAAGAAATTCAGCGATGCCCTGAGCTAGAGAAAGAGTTCAGCCAGAGTCTGTCTGTCAGAGAGAGAGAGGAAGAGATGGGGGAGCTGTTGAATGGTCGTAGGTCCCAGCTGAGTGTAATTCAAGGCCCTGTCATTTATCCGCCAGAGGACGAGTGGATTATCTCAGTGTCCTTGACCCACTATACCCCCACTCTTTAGGCTGGCATAGAAAACTAAAGGGTAGATAGATAGAGTGGGCGGATAGGACCCAGTGTGATGGTGGGCTGGCTGGCACAGAGAAACAGAATGGAGACATTGGCAGGCTGTTATATAATCTCTCAGAATCTGCATTTGAAACAAAGATTTTTGTCCCTGCGTTGTGGTTTTGGTTGCTTAAAGGTCAGGACCAGAATATAAAAAGACCATCTCTGTCCAAAATTAGTCAGGAAGCAAAAACATCCCACTTCCTCAACAGATACCTGTAACTGAACCTATCCTTGGTGCCAGGTCAGGCCACTGCCAGTAGCAGAGGACTGACTTTGGGGTTTATTAACAGCAATGGTTTAGACATTGAAACTGGATATAATCACGGAAAATCTTATTAGACTATAGTGATTCTGTGTGATAATCCAGACTGCCTTAAGAAATGCATGGGTCTGCTTTAGTGGGAGTGTGTGCTACCGGTACTGATAGGAAATATGATCCAGGAAGTCAAGTTTGAGTAATAGTACTATGATTATGAAAGCTTATCAGATGTCGTCAGACAGTTTATGTTACTATCAGAAAGAATTTGACAACTCTCCAAGTTATTATCAGTTATTATAAAATTTTAATTTATTTAATTAAAAAATAAATTTTCTTTTTTTTTTTAAAAAAAAAAAAAAAAAAATTTTTGTTTCTTTTCAGTTTAATTGTTTCAAGTGTTTGGCATTCCTTTTTGACTTCCTCTGTAAATAGTTTTCCAGTGTAAATCCTCAACTTTCAAAAAAAATTGCTAAACTTGCAGCCAGTATGGTAAATGCCATACAAAAAATTATGTTGCAGTAGCGCAGAAACTCACATTAACTGTCACTACCTACTTGAAAATTGCGTATTACCACCGTGGTTGTAAAATGCGGCTGACACTCTGTGTCACTACTCGTATGAGTTTAGTTGCAGTGTGAACATAGCCACATACTGCCTAGATGACACAGAGGAAATGGCACAGTAGGTGTTATAGATTCATAGAGGTCAGAGTGAAACAGTGAGAAGAAGAGTATAGAGGTATATAGAACAGATATGTAAGTATTAAGAGATGTACCAGCAGTGAGACAACAGTAATAGTGATCAACAAGTAAGATATGCTGCAGAGGCATGGCTGGTGTTTGCAGTAATCTGTGTCAGCCACTAGTGTGTTTCACCCTTTGTGACTGTGCGTAGGCTTATGTTTTTGTGTATCGGAAGAGTTGATGTGGTGGAAGACTGAGGGGGTATGCTGTGTACTGACAGCTGGCTTCTATAAATAAATGTTGCAGGCAGGGGGGAGACGCAGGGGTGGAGAGAGAAAGAACGAGGGAGCTGGGAAGAGTGACAAATAATGGGGAAGGCGGGGGAGAGAAGGGGCAACGGAGGATGGGAGAGCTGATAGAGAAGGACTGATACAGATGTACTGAGAGACTTAAAAGAATGTGGTGACTGTCCTGCGCTTGCTGAGTGTCATGACTTACTGAACACACACAACATGTCACCACAGCCTCGACCAATCAGCAGCCCTGGCTGGGAACATGTGCATCCTGGATGCCTCCATCTTTTTCTAGATGTGTACCACAAAGTCTGTTGCCGGCGCATGTTATCTCACATCGGTGTTGCCCCGTCAACTTCCTTCCTTGTCTTATTTTGACTCTCTGTGTGTGTGATGCAGTGACTCAATCAAATTCATTAAAACAGCAGGAAAAGAGACAGAAACAAAGAAAAAGGCAGAGAGAAATAAAGAGAAAAAGAATGGAAAAAGAGAGGAGACAAACAGCAAACTTATCAGGCAGAAAAAGGACTTTCTTAGACATTTAGCTGTGGCAACTCTCCCTCCATTAATTTGTCATGTAATCGGTCACCGAGCCTTCTCAGATTATGTCCTGTAGACTAGCTGCTTGGTAACAACTGACTGAGATGTACTGTATCACTGACACCGGCTACTTTCACTTTCCCGCCTCCTGTTACACCATTTCATTGCCTTCCAAAGTGGCTTGTGTGTGTGTTGCATTTTGCTTATGAGGCTGTGAGCTGGGTTTGGTTTCCTGTCTTGGCACAGCTATGAAACACTGTACACCTGCCTGTCTTGCTGCTTAACTGACGTACCTGTCTTACGTATTTTACCTCTCTCCTCGTCTTTCTGCCTCTGTGTGTGCGTATGTGTGTTTCTCTTTATATGTTTGCCCGTGATGGGAATGTATTGTCAATGTTACATCCTCAACAACAGACAGTAAGATTAGGGAGGGGGACGGAGGAAGATAACATGGCCCCACCAGCGAGTAGGTGGGGTCACGTTATCAGGCTACATCAGCACATCAGAAGCCTTCTCTTCGACTTCCTCTATTTCTGCTTACATAGAAAACCATAAGCAGACTTGCGAAAGACTCCTGTGGGCAGACAGTCACGTGATTATAATGTAGCTTAGTGACGATGGTGGGTGTACACGTCTGTCAGGAAGAGCATGACACACAGAGTGGAAGGGAGCACATATGTCAGTGTTATTTGAGTTAAATACTTGTATTACTATGTATATGCAACAGTCTCTGTATCTTTAATCTAGCATCTAGTCGACATCCTGACACTGTCAGTAGCGCTGGCAACAGGCCAAAAGTGGGTCATCTTACACTTTATATCGACGTCTCAATATATAAATGATTTAACAATCATCTGATGTTTGTAATACCTCTTAAGTGTAGAGGATGTTGTCATTGTCCAAACTGTAGACTTGAGTTTGCTTCTCTCCGGCTAAAATATACCAACCTCCAACTTCCATTAAGGCCCATTTGTTTTCTGCAGCCAGTGTTTATTAGTTTAGAAAAATGTGCCTAGAGTTGTTGCAACAGTTACATTCCCTATAAAAAAACATCTGTGGTCCAACTGGTCAAAAAAAATCCTACCCAGGATTTCTCTCTGAATGTCCCAGCTCATTCTTTCTGTTGTAAGATGTGGTTTTTATAATATTTATTATATATATATATATTTTTTTTCCCCTAACCATTATATCATGGAACAATATAAACTAAACTTATTTACAAGCATCCAAAATGATTTCATCTCGGCACAGAAGCCACAACAGTGCATTAACAGAATTGTTTGCTTTACCGCACATCTTGAATTGAGAGCCTTCTGTAAAAGAACACCATCTAAATTAATCAGTCATTGCGTCCAGAGGCCTCCTAGCAGTTCACCAAACTGCATGTTTGAAAAAACCAAGCTGAAGTGTGTGTGACTTCCTCGCACTTCCTCTGCTCTGACAGTGGTTCCTCTCTCTCTGCTCTGTCCCTGCAGCCTCTAGCACAGTGGTGGAGGCTGATGCCCAAAGATGCTGCCAAGATGCCGGAGAGCGCGTGGAAGCTGGTCTTCTACACCATGTCGTGGTCATACAGCACCTACCTGCTCTTCTTTACCTCCTACTCCTTTTTCCATGACCCGCCCTCTGTCTTCTACAGTAAGATACACAACAGTGTGAACAGATATTGTAATGCATTAGTCCTCTTTGGGATCTGTTAATTGAATGACTTGACTCTGCCTCACATTTAAAGAAAAGACCTTTTCATGGTTTAAATACTGAGATTGGATTAACTACTTATATTTTCTTTTCAGTGTTTGAATCTGGTCTATATTAGACTGCTATATTAGATAAATTCTGATCTCAGAAGAAGTGTGTTTAATAGTACTGTAACAGAGTCAGTTTCTTTCTTACCTAACCTCTGAGGGTAGATAAGGAGCTAAAGTCATTTTAATCTCATGAAACAGCAGGCAGCGCAGTCTGATCCGCTAGAGACTCCGTGGGGGTAAAATGCTACTTTGAGTATTCAAATAGAGAGATTTTTCCAGCAGTGTCTACAGGATATGCAGCCTGGTGGTTCATGCATATCTTACGCCTTGATTTGATCACTCCTCCCAGTTAACCTCAGTGATGCTGATATTGATACAAAACCCCAAACAGGTTTATTATTACCAACATTAAGAGTTCAAGTAATATTCTTTTCATAGTCATCAAAAGGACAATCCAAACAATTCAAATGAAAGCAAAGTTTTGACCCAACAATTAAAAGAAATGATCTGCATAATTGTACCTAATGGAGAATAGAGTCGTGACTTGAGAACTTGTATTGCTAATGAAGGATAAATGTGTAATGGGGATTCCACTTATAATACAGAAACGTCTTTAATAGTTTCTCTACCCCGTCCATCAGACTCGGAGGTGTCAGCGGCTCCGGTCCAACTCCATCGCTCTGAGTGGAGCAAGCAAAGGCTGGTTGACAGCGCAAGGTTCATCTTTAATAGCTGCATCACTTCTAATAGCTGTCAGCCTGAGATGTGTACAGAGGCAATGTAATGTGGCTGGGTTGTTAGGGAGAGAGAGAGAGAGAGAGAGGGAGAGAGAGAGAGGGTGATGTGAAGCTACAAAGAAAAGTAAAGAATTTGGAGTATTAGGAGAAATCAAAGTAACACAGTGGCAGAACCAAGGAGGGGAAGAATGTCTGTATTCTGAAGAAAAAAGGGAAGAGAAAAAAAATAAAAGCTTTAGTCTCCAGGAGAAAAAACAAGTCTCCAGTTCCCATGCCTCCCCTTGGCAGCTCTTCTGTTGTGATCCATCTAGCAGCCTTCTTCTCAATGTTTAATGACGGAAGGACCAATCAATAAACATTACACAAGGCCCAAACGTAACCCCATCCCAGGAGAGACAAACCTCACTCAAACATCGGAGGAGAAAGTTTCCGTCCAACATCTGATAGGTTTCAGAGACATGAGCTCGCCTAGTAGCCTTAACATACATTTGGCCTGCTTTGCTTATGGTACTTTAGAAACCCTCTCTAATTCTCCAGAGGTTAAACCTGATCCCTCCAGCCTCCTCCCCATATTAACTACCCCAGCTGACCTTTCACATCTGGTATCCCGCCATCCCCGGAAGTCACTGTATATAGCTCAGTATCTGGAGATATTGGTTGTAATGTATATGTGTCCAAATGTGTGTGTATATAACGATAATGATCCAGCTGTGTATACAACATGTTCATCTTTTACACAAGATAAATCCTCTGTTACTCTCTGTAGCTTGGACGTAAGGCACATTAGTAGTATGTTAAGTGTCTTTAAATTAAAGATGACCATTTTTAAATGAATGTGTAAATGTGAATGTAAATGAATGTGTAGGTTTTTATTTTTTACATTTATTCACCTTAAAAAATTTGCCTATTTGAAATGGGCCATTCAGCTGCCTAACCATGCTTAACTTTGTATCTAAATCTCTTGGTTTTAATTTTCACTACGCTAGAGTTTTTTGTGAGTTGTGTCGTCTTAACTGTTGCCAACAGACAACTGCCTCCTCCACTTGAGCTTGCACTGATAAGCAGTGAGTCAGGAATAAATATGCCTTTTGTCTTGCCTGTTTCCAACTCTGTGATACTTAGGATACAATCTAGTGTTGGGCAGTATGATCAAACATTTGTGTCACAGTATTTTTTTAGATTCTGTAGGTTTTACAGTATATCACGTTTTTTCTTTTGTCTTTTTTTGCATGACGAGGTCTATATAGGTCTACATAGAATATAGAAACATTTTAATGCTATCATGTACGTACTGAAGGATTTGAGGTTTTTCTTCTCCCACAAAAGGATCCCATATGTGAAGGACTGAGAATACAAAATATGTTTTTATACTGTAAAGTAGTAAAAACAGAAGCGATATGCCAACAACTTTAACATTGCTTCTTCTTCCAAGCTAAATATTTTAAACAATTTCATACTGTATATCATCCAGCTACAACTACAACTAACGAAAACAGAATACACAGTACAATACGAACAAGAGTGCATGCATACATCTGCCAAAGGCTGCATAACTCTCTATATTTAAAAGATTTTTAATTTTTAATCTGCATCTGGATTCCGACCTGTATCAAAATGCATTAATAACACATGATGGTGACTAGCTGATGGTGGCAATAATTTATTACAAAAACTGTGCACATGGATGATTTACAGTTTTAAGAGAGTGAAGGTCACTGAGTTATGGTTTTTTAAAATGTATCATGTTGCTATAGTGCCACCTATTGACAGATTGTAATCAAATTTATTCATGGTTGTTTATGTGAAATAACATCAAGTAAAATGGTACAGTATGGCAGGCTCATCCACATGTTTTATGTACCAACTTTGGCGAACATTTCTACTCTAAACTTTAAACTCCTATAAAGTTTTGTTGGAAAAAGGATGAAAACATATATGCACATTATACACATGTACATTATTAAGTGTTTTATTAAAGACCAAATTGAAGCAATATTGTATCCATTTTTCAACACATTTTAAGTTTTGATGTATCCTGCTAACAGACACAGGAACATGAATGAAAACATCTCTTTGGTGATGGTTATTAAACAAAAAGTAAGACTGTATCTACGGTCTACTGTTTGACAGTTTTCACTTCAGCTGAATAGATTGATTGTTAAAGTAAAAGCTGACGTCCTCAGTGTGCTCTCAGTGTGTATCAGACCCTAACCTCTTCTAACATTTTCTACCTGTTTGTCCAGACTGGAAAAGTGGTATGTTAGTGCCTGCAGACATCGCCATAGCCTACCTGATCCAGGGAAGCTTCTACGGCCACTCCATCTATGCTACAGTCTACATGGACGCATGGAGAAAGGACTCCGCTGTCATGGTGGTGCACCACATCATCACACTGGCACTTATTAGCTTCTCCTACGCCTTCAGGTAATTAAGTCTAATTTTATGTTGATGATGAAGTCTAAAAGATCTGATTGACCCTTTAAGTTTCGGATGGACATAAAACCGCTCATCAGCAAATTGAAATCAGCAGGTCTTATTGAGTAGATGGTATTTCCTACCATTCAGTTTATTCATATTACCCACAGACTGTATAATTAAAAATGGACATCACCCATAGGTTTCTAAAGAGCCGTTGAGAAGCTCACTGTGGTCGGATTTGGTTGTCTCCTTCTTGGCAGTCATGACTCTTGAAAAAAAATCAAAAATGGGCAAAGATGTGGAGTGTGGGTAGGGCTGAGGTGGGCTGAATGAAGCCTGGTTACTTAAAACAGCCCCTTGTCCCCAGTCACACAAAGCGGCCACGCCCCTAATTATGCAGAACTTTAAACCTTAATATTATTTAAATGTTAAGTTGTATACAAATGAACCTTTGTACAGTTTTCATGAACAGGGGAAATTAGCTATAGAGACTGAAACCTTTTTTGTACCAGGCTGTAAACATGTTTATTTCTGCTGTAAATTTGTAAAGGGCATTTTAATATATTGAGTCACTTCCAGCCTCGAGTGGTCGTTCAAGGAACTGCAGTTTTTCTTATTTCCATGTTGGCTTCATTTGCCAGGTTTCAGCTTGATATGACCACATCAGGATATACAGCAGACACACAGCCATGAGTCATATGTGTGTTGAACTACACTTTGGTAATAGTAGTCTGAAGTAGCACGCAAAATAAAGCAAAATTTACTTGGTTGGCTTGGTTGTTTTTTTAACTACTCAAACATTAACATTGACACACCAGTATAATACATAGTGGTGTATGGCTGTAAGGCTTTCAGCTTTCTGCCTGAAAATAAATAGATCTTGCAGAAAAGGGGAGATAGGAGCATTGCTTAGATTTTTTGTGCCTGGGAATTGAAACAGAAACATTCCTTTTAAATAAACTGCTTCATGTTTCAACTTCCTTTTGCTGACTGTATTCACTGACAATATCTTATTTACATACTCTGTCCCTCAGATACCACAACGTAGGGATTCTGGTGTTGTTCCTCCACGACATCAATGACATTCAGCTGGAGTTCACCAAGCTCAACATCTACCTGAAGTCCAGAGGAGGAGGCTATCACCTGCTCAACGACGTGCTGTCCAACATGGGCTCTGTCAGCTTCAGCATCACTTGGTGAGGCTCAACAAACACACAGACTCATTTTCTCTGTCTTCTCGTCTGATTTGTTCTCTGTCATGGTTTTTTGTTGTCTTGACAGCGTCAACTGTCTGTCTGGTTCGTATTCACTCACGGTGATACGATGAATCAGATGAACCGACAAACATTTCTGTTTCCGTCTCAATCTCTCTCAGGTTCTGGTTCCGTCTCTACTGGTTCCCTCTCAAAGTGCTGTATGCCACATGTGTGTCTAGCCTCCAGTCTGTCCCCAGCATCCCCTTCTACTTCTTCTTCAACGCTCTTCTTCTGGCATTGCTGCTCATGAACATCTACTGGTTCCTGGTGAGGACACACAGGTTTTTTTTATTTATACCCCGAAAGCATTGTTTTCGATTTGTATGTCAACGTTCAACAAGACCTGCCACAGAAATAACACAATGTGATCTCTTTGTGTTTCCTGTTCTCCCGTGTAGTTCATTGTGGTTTTCGTGGTGAAGGTGCTCAAGATGAAGGAGCTGAACGATGTCAGGGAGTACGAGGAAGAGGACGGCAGCAAGGCGGCAGCGGGTCTGCTCAATGTCCCTCAGGCAGAAAACAACGATGATGGTGCTGGACATCACATCTCTGCCCAGGGGTGAGCTGCATCTCATTTGTTTAATCTGACAGAGCGACCTCATCTCGGGGTGGAAAACCACCACCAGCCAACTGCTGGCAGACTTTCACAGTAAATGCTGAGTTTGTTTTTACCAGCAGCAGGTTTGGCAGGCAACCGAACCAGCAGTTTAAGGTGCTATATGTACAATTTCCACATTAGTAAATCAATAGTTTTAAGACCAGAGTAGGCCTGTTGCAGTTTTTTTTTACACCAGCGTTAAGTTCTAATACTGATGACTGACTTAATGCTATGAGACCAAAATGAATATATCATAAATAAACACATTAAAGTTTAAGTCAGTAAAAAAAAAAAGCCATGCTAGCAGCTCTGTACTTTGGCAAAGGGGCTTTTAAAGCTAAATGCTAACATCGGCATGCTAATATGCTAACAGTGATCATGCTAACATGCTGATGTAGTCTACCACATTTGTTTAGCATGCTAACATTTACTACAAAGAGAGGTTGGTCTCTATAAAATACGATCATGTCTCTTTTAAACCGAATGCTGTGCTGTATAAAAGTCATAATTGAAATGTGCTTAAATGTACAAATATAAATTAATGTTGAAAAATAGCACACACAGCACCTTTCTTTAATTTGATTATTATTTAAATTATTTCTTATTTTACTCTTAAAGTCAGCTTTGGCTGGTCAAATGGTGCCTTTAATCAATTTTGTGTTAATAGAACAATTAATTTGTATTTTGTAGTGTGTTATTGTAGTTGGTATCCTTCCTAACGCATCCTAGCAGTTATTGTAATAATTATTATGCCTCTATAAGAGGAGATTGGTATGAATAATACTGACATTTACAAATATTTAGTTTTAATCTGTGGAGCTTTTATATAGTTCCGAGAAGCCATTGTATTGTGTAATATTGGTCACTTCTAATGTGTAAATGAGTAGCTCAATAGTGAGCTTTAAACCAGAAAATGCTAAACTGACTAAAACCAAAGGATATCTGTACCTTTATCTGAAGTTATGGATCCCTCTGTGTTTATCTGGGAGCTGCCTTTAGCCTCCTGTCATGTGTCCTCTATCTTCTACTGCGGATTATCACGTTAGCCTTTGAATATTATGATTAGAGTATTCACAGAATAAAAAGCTGACGCTGTCTAGGATTTGATAACTCAAGCAGAACACAAGAATTTATCCCCACTGGCACCGTCTCCTCTCTTGAAGGCAGGTGTAGATGCAGAAAGAGCAGAACTCCCACTGAGCTTGTGTAACCAGCGGCCCTCACAAGTAGATAAGATCAAAGAGCCTGGGACCATATTGAGATGTGATTATGTGGCACTCCTTATCTGCCCGGCCTTGAACCCTGCTGATATCCTCTCTGCCTGCTAATGCCTCACGTCTGCTGATCACCTCACCTGACATGCTCATTCTCTTCTCCTCGTTCCCGTCCTGACTGAGGCTCCTTCCACTCTCACTTCCCTGACTCTCTCTTTCTCTCTCTCCTCTCTCTCCGCAGGAAGCACGTGCAGAACGGCATCACCAAGGACAAGCATCTATAACACGCTCTCCGTCGCCACCACCTGGCACTAGGCTACAAGTACAAGCAAGACGAGATGCCCTCCTCGGACGGCTCACGCTTAAAACGTGGCTGAAGGGAAGAGTGTCACAAAAAGAAGAAGGAAAATAGCGAGTTAGGCCACAATGAGTTTTTACTCTTTTTATTTGTTTTAGAACATTTCATTTAATCACTGTCATTTTGTTTTTATTAGAGCACTGTGAATGTTATTTCAGGTGACTTTTTTTTTTTTTTTGTCTTACTGTTGCTAACTTTACATTTGATAGATTCAGTAGAAACAAACCAGTTTGAGTGAGAGTTGGACTGGAATTGTCACATACAGTAGTACAGGGTGTCATAATCAAAACATCACCCTGAACAGCGCCGCAGACAGGAAAAAGGTTTAGGCCTGTAGTGGTTCTGTATACATTTAGACCTACAGTTAACCTTTAGAAAACAATAAGGGTGAGCTGTGTTTGCCGTCAGTGAAATATGTTTCCTAATGAATTCCTTTCCCTCTTCACTCTCTTCAACCTCCGTCCATCCTCTCTGACTCCACACATGAAGAGAAAAGGCTAAAAAAAAAAAAGGAAAAAAGATTTAAAAAAAAAAAGATTAAAATCGGAACCTCTGCGTTGTTGTCAGTATCGTTCTCATGGCTGCAGAGATGCAGGAGAGCCTTCCTGGCATTTTGTCTGGTGCTGTTTCACCACATGTATTGATTTTCATATCATTGCACAAGTTAGTGGTGGCGACCACACAGCTCTGGCTGCTCTCCCTGCGTCCATTAGGTTGAACTGAAAAGCCACTTTGGCGTGTGTCGGTATGTGCGCGTGTTAAGTGTTTCAGGATGTGGAGAGTATGGATGTAGCCGAACTTTAAGCTCAAAATCCTTCTTTTCACAACATTTCACCTCTCAGTCTGATTTCTTTTATCTCTTGTACTGATGATCAACACGCATTGGAAACATTCACTTGGCATTCTTATATAGAAATTCGTTTTATTTATTTTTTTTTTTTTTTTTTTTTTTTGTCTTTGTGTGTTGCAAAGCATCTGTTGCTGCACTGAAATGAAGGCATACAAGCTGATTGCTGGTTTAATGACAGCAAATAGCTAGAATTGATTGATTGGGTTTCAGTATCATCCTCATAATTTAATTTGTTTAAACAATATGAATTTGAATAACACTTATAACCAGTTCGTGGGTGGTGGCGGCTATCAGGTTCACAGATAACTGGAACAATAGCCCAGAACTTGTGTAAAGATAAAAATCAGTATGATTAAAAAAAAAAACATTATGTATGCACACATTATGGTATTCAGGAATGCATGACATTGAATGATTTTGGAAATATGCTATGAAATTGTCTTACAAACAAACAATGACGAAAAAAATCCTCTAACTATGTAATCATAATGTCTTTATTAATGTCCTAAAAGTGATCTTTTTTGAAGCAGCTGTGAGCACTGAACACACATAATGTTGGCTGACAAACAAACAAACAAACAAACCAGTGTGACCCCCCCCCCCAATCTGGCACAAAAACGTGGGTATTTTACATACATCTCAAGTCATTCATGAAGGGAAAGAATGAGATTTAAGTCTATTTTATCCCAGAAATCCCACATATGGGAAGATTTTTTGGTGCCATCTGTACTTCCAACACATTGAATTATACTACAAAGGGATTTATTTCACTTCCCTGGATCCCACTGGTTTACTGTGTGTGTGTGTGTTAGTGGAAACAGTTGCTGCACCTGTGGAAAATAAGGGATGTTTCTATTCTTCCTACCGTCTCGATCAAATTCAAGCTTTTGTTTCGATGAACAGCATGCTTGTGCTGCTGGAGCAGGCCGCAGATGTCGTCTGTCCGTAGGAGAAGCGTCTGTCTGTTTTAGTTGATCTTGTTAGTTGGTCTTCCATGATCGGAAGTTCAAACTAACTTTTAATTTTACATTAAACTATCACTATTATTGCTGTAGTTCAGGATATTATTGTTGATTTGTTTTTGGAATTGCTGCTGTTTTTTTGTTGTTGTTTTTTTTTCCTCTGAGAGCACTGTTGGTATTCCAGTTGTGTTGGGTTTTTTTCTGCTGTGTATGAGTCGGTGATAGTCTGCTCAAATCAGATGTTTCCAGGGACCAGGGAGAGTCGTTTTTGTACATCTGGATTTAGTCTCAGATTCTCTTCCTTTTTAATCTGAATGCTGGCTCGCACTAATTTTTACTGTAGTCATTATACATCTGTACTGTAAGTAACATGGTTTATAAAACATGTTACTGTGTGTAATATATCAGACGTTCAGAGTCCCGTGGCTGACTGGTTTTACTAGCATGCTGATATGGAGGAAAGTGAGCTCAGAGATCCTTCCTGCTCAACTGTGAGACTAGATTATCCATAGTTTGCTGATATTTTTGTTATAAGATGACAGGAGTGAAGTTCGCAGTAGAACCACAAAGACCTGTGGTCTGGATTAGGTGTGACGCTTCCCTAAAGTCTGGTATGGTACTGTGTCCTCCACCTCTCTGTTGGACCCCCCTCTCTCAGTCCTGTGACGTGTAAGTGAGTAACTACTTCCAGGGGCTGGGCGATATGAAGAAATAGAACCATCAGACAATCTAAATTCACTGTACTGTTTATAACGTGGTGTGTATCCTTTTAACATCTCTGGGTGTGTTCAGCCATTGTGGGGGAGAGTTGTAAATCAATGAGCTGTTTTAATGGCAATATTGGATTTTATATATTTTTTTGCATCTGAAGTACTTTGTCTTTTCAGGTATTTACTACCCAAAAACAGCTGCAGCAACTTCCAGATGTGCACTAGATTAGGCTCAACAGATCTTGATCTGTATCATAATAAATAATGTATATTGGGAGAGAGGATTTTATCCATGTCGCCCACCCCTAACTCAAACCCACAAGGGACGAAACTATCTGAAATTGAAGGGAAAACTTTTTGAGGCTGTCAGTTTATTTTTCTTTCTGTATGGATTTGGCTGATTCTTATTTAAATGCTTGATACAACCGTGGCCTACATTTCAGGTCATCTTTGTTTTTTTTTGAAGTTTTTCGGAAGGACGTGAAGCTCGGTTCAGTCAGACAACTCACCTGGAACGGAATTATGTGAATGTACAGATTTGATGTTTGATGTCTAGGCTCTGACCTCGTCACTCCCCAACGTGCGTACACCGAGATCAGCACGCAGGAGATCCCGGGAGTGACGATGAAATGATGAAGCAGCGTTGGCAAACCGATGAGTATAGCAGCGGCATTGACGAGGCTGTCTTATCGGGGAAAAGGCTGTTGTGGGTTTTTGTGTTGCAGTGAGTAGAGAAGAAGTAGGAATATTTGGCGTCTATGCTCTGACCTCGTCGCTCCCCGTTTCCGTACATCACGATCAAAAGAAATCCAAGAAGTGCAGATAAAAGAAGCAGTGTTCATAAACTGAGAGGAATATTTCAAAGGCTACAGTGTGTCAATTTGTGTCGAGTACAGCATAGGACGTATTTTGGTGTGTAGGCTCTGACCTCGTCACTCCTCGTTTGCAGACATTAAGATTAGCACAAAGAAGATCAGGGAGAGACGATGAGATGAGCAGCGTTGACGGGGCTGCTGTACTTCAAAGGCTTGTAGCGAATACGACTTGTCTGCCTGAACTGGCCCGTAGGCTTCGCTCCACCATGACACTAAGTATCCTCACGAATGGTTTGATTGTGCCAAAATGTCCACCCAAATTATGAGGCAAGTATTTGTGGGAACTGGTGACGAGCGAAGAGGAGAGCTAGTAGAGACCGACGGGCAGGAGAGCCCTGCAGGTATTTCTTATAAATTGCACTGTAATTTATTAGTATTATTTTTATTGTTCATTAGTAGATCAAAATTAGAAAAAGGGAAGGGAGAATTTGGGAATTTTTATGACTTTCTTGGAAGAATCAGTAACTAAAACTTATTAATTGAAAGTGTATTTTAATGATACATGTTTTTTTGGACCATTGATACTTGCTGTGAGAGATACAAATTGCCCCGTTTTTTTCAAACTGAATTTGACCACTTGATAAAGACGCGTACTTGCTCTTTTGTAATGCAATTTTAATACCATTCAGCCAATGTTAACGTTTCATTTTTTCCCATAAAATAAAACATGTCAGTAAAAAAAAAAGATGTGTTCCTTGTGATTTCTTTTAATTTATTTTATTTTTTAATCACAACTGATATTTTCATTGCAAAGATCAAGTGTTGTGGATGAGGCGAAACAGAGTTCAGACCAGAGGAGAGTTTGTTTCAGTGCACAAATTAAAAAATAACCGCTTCAATAAATACAAAAAAAAAAATTCATATGTACCACACACCATTTCCCTCTTGTTGGTAAATAAAAATTCATGTAACCATGGTGATGGTGGGTCAGAGGTCATGCAGTAACATGGAAAACATACAAAACAGCAAATAAACACCATTCACCCACAACAAGGCAAGACCAGGGCAGAGAAAAGGTCAAGGAAACACTGCAGCATTAGTTTTACACACACCAACATGTCATAAAGTTAATATTCTAGGTGTGTTTGAAGATATTTTTGCCCCTTTGATCCAACACTCTTTGTGTTGTTGCCCAATTTTAAGACATCCAGTGTATAAATACTGCAGTGCCGGCTTGACCGAAATCTTAACAAGGCTTTAAAAAATGTCTGATCAAGTCAAATCACATTATTGCTGCAGTCAGCAAACAGTCAGATTCAGCACAATGTTTTCTGCTGATAAAAACGGGAGTACGGGGGGAGTTTTATCATGATTTGTTGTACGTTGTCCTCTTACACACTCAACACACACACGCTCTGATTAGACAGAAGGAAAAAAAAAACAAAAAAAAAAACATGTTTGTTGCTTATGACCTTTCTTAACACGAGCTTTAAGGTGAGTTTACTTCACCAGCACGACTTTTTAATCCATTCAGGATTTAAGAAAGAAAAAGACTTGAGCAGTAAAAATAAGACACACCAGTTCCCACGGTAACAGAAAACAAACCTCGACTACAGAAAAAGGCGAGAAGGAAAACTTCAAAGAATCTCTTTACCGAAATATATTAAATGGAAGAAAGGGGGAGATTAAAAACACAATAATTATTTGGCAAGGATTGTTTTTCCTATTCAAATGAATGTTTCTTTAATAAATTCACAAGGCAATGGAATCAGGATTATCTAAACACTACTTCACATTTTATTTAGACAATTCGTCTCATTCGTAAACATTATTTGTGTTAGGGGAGTCAGTTTCACTGAGCGTTTAAAGGATAAGGTCTGATTTTATTTCACATCCGTCTCATCACAATACTCGTCTAAGTTATTGTTCACTGTGATCATTCCAGAAATTAAATCAACAAATATATTCATAGTCAATTAATCAGTGAAGTCATTTATCATTTAGTTTTATATTGTTGTAAACTTTAGATTTTTGTCTTTTGGACTGTTGGTCTGACAGAAAACGCTGTTTAAACGCCTGCGATGTGCATTTTGGACCATTTTCTGACATTTAATAGTCGAAGCAATCAATCGATTAATTGAAAAAACTAATAAACAGATCAATCAATAATAAAAATACTTGGTTTTGACCCCAGGGGGATGGAAGGCAAAATTCATTCTTAAATTCACCTGAAGCTAAAACGTTGAGTTACCAAGTGGCTACGTTCTGATGCTAGTTATTTTTAGCAAACAGGGAACTTCATACCAAAATGTGGAGGCTGCTGGAGCCTCACCGTCTTCAGCTGAACGTTAGGGGGGATTTCTGCACAGAACAAGGTCTCTGGATTTAGAGGTCAGCGTGGAGAGAAAGAATTCAAGAGTATTATATGAACGCAGATTGAACAAATAAGAGCCTATCCTTTAACAACAAGGTGTGTGAACACATCTCTCAACAAAAGAAAAGGTCTGGGCTAAACTCTGTGTGGTCAGTTTCTCCCTGTAGCTGCCTGAGACCACACACGACGTCGGTTTGGCAGAATGATCACTCGTACAGTATACGGGAGCAGAGGAATGAGGAGCGATCGGTGGTACAGCAACATCACAAACTCTCACTTAATCTCAACTAGAGCTCGAGAGGTGTGGACAAATGCTTTACCTACCTCACAAGAATCAAATTATAATGAAATATTTCCAACAAAAGGGATTATCATTAATGAATGACAAAGACATCTGTGTTCCTGAAGACAGGGAGAGTGGAAAAAATGATTCCTGATTATTCTGGTCCATGAGACCAAATGGATTAAAGTTGGCAGCAGGACAGGATCTGACATCATAGTTTGTGGATCAGGATGAAGGAGATGAAAGTGATTCTGCTGGTTTGAAAACCATCATGAGAACAGCAGCTTGGCCCAGCTTCTGTGTTCTTACTGGCTAAAGTTTCTTGATTTGAGGAAAACGGTGGGATCTGGAAAAAAAATAATAAAAATGGTGTTGTGCGCCTTTAATGGGTCTTTGTCTTGGGTTGGGTGATTCTGCGGACAACACTGTACAGGACTCCGAAGTTCTGTAAAAACAAAAAAAAGGACCACAAGACATAAGACGGTGTTCATTTCATGTTTCCAGACAAGAAGACCTACAAAACATCTGCACACAAACAGGCCTTTTCCAGACATGGAACAACACTGGTATCATCGATCAATGACAGTAACGGTTCTCAGGCTTTCAAACACAAGTCTCAGTTAAGAAAAGGTTACTAAGGCGTGTTACAATGCTCACACAATGCTCACGCAATGCTCACTGGTGAGTGAGAAGGAGCATTCAGTTAGAAAGGTTGCATCAGTGATTTATTAATCATCGTCTTTGAGGCCTTAATTAACAAACAACCTGAGCATGAACAATGCTTCTCTGTAGGTTCCTCACTTTTACACCATCACATTGTTATTGTAAAACAACTGTTAAAGCTGCTTTAAACATTAATGTTGTGAAAAGGGAGCGTGTTACACTTCACATCTGGTGAACCCACTTTGAAGTGTCATACTGCGCAGCTACAAACTGTTAAGTTTCAAACTAAATATGCACCTAGGCTTATGTAGGACATCTTAGTGAGGGGCTAAAATACAGTGCAACATGTTTCAGCACAACATAGATTATTTCCAGGATATTTGGTCATTTTAATCAATTTCCAGGTGTTTCCATAACTGGGAATCTAGTCTTTAAATGTCCAGATTTTCCAGGAACTCTTTGTGCTGCATGCCATTACTGCATGAACAGTGACTTACCTGGATAGCCAGATACATCAACCCTAAGTAGGCTGCAATGCAGACGGCCAGCAACAAGTCAAAAATAGCTGGCTTCACTCTGAGTGGTAGAGAGAGTCACCAGAGAGAGACACAGTTAGAGAGAGAGAAGAGGAGTGAAGGAGAAACAGTCAAAAAATGATCTCTGACATTATGCAATGGCTGTTTTTAATGTTTGGATTGTATCTTTTACTGAAGTCTGTATGAAGTGCTCTAAAGCACCGCTAGAGAGGAGCTCATGAACACGTACCTGTAAGCATTCATAGTCTGTTTGAGCTGGTCGTAGAATACAAACTCTGGATCCCTGAGGACGGGAGTTCAAAACATAAGGTTGACATCAGGCAAAAAAAAAAACAACAACTGGTTTATTCACAATGATATCCAGAGAACTACTGTCACTCATATTTGGTGTCATAATACAACTGTACTTAGATCTTTTCTTTACCTTTTGTCAGCTTTGACATAGTGTCTCTTGACATCCTTGAGGTAGTGTCCGAGGTGATACTCCAGAGTGGACACCACGCTGCTGTCTTTGTCTACCAGCTGAGCAGCTCGTGGCTGCGCCGTGAGCCAGTCCACCACCGCTGAAAGCTGCTCCTCCTGAACCTGGTGACGTCACGAGAGACGAAAACATTACAACAACAGGCGTACAGCACTACAACGTAAGAGTCTGTGGTGGACAGTAAGGTAGGAAAACTGAATATTGGGAACAATTATTACGTAAAGCAATACCTGTTTGTTTACAGTAACGTGAGGAGGTTTCAGCTTTTAGATTTAACAACTTAAAATTGGAGTATTATTAATAAAATACTAAATATTCAAAATGTCAAAACAAATTCTGTCTGGATAAAAACAACAAAAAAATAAATCTTTTAGAAATCTGTTACCACTTTGTCTGTATAAGAACTTCATTAGTTGATTTTAGACTTATTTTGTCATAAATATAACAATATATTTCAGTTAAATGTAACCAGACCTGAGATGATTTCGGTTGTATCACAGAATCAAACAACAGATGAAGGACGACTAAGTACTGCAGCACCAAACCAAATAGTCTTAATATTTCAGTGATAAGTAAGATGAGACATGAGCTGTTGGTAGCGATCCCTAGGGATGGATGACCACCGCTTTATTCCAGTTCCTACAATGCATTTAAATGTTTAATCTTAAACTTCAGCTCAACTGCAGTACCTTCAAATGTTGGTTTTAAAAGGCGCATCAGACTCAAGAAGACTAAGAACAGCTGAATTTAGTGACTCACCATTTGTTCGGTGAAGATCTGCAGGTCTCCAGGGGCCCCCTGGGTAGTACAGGAACAACAAAAAGGTCACAACACAGTCAGAAAGCAGGTGGAAAGCCTAGTGTCGATACATTTTCTCTATCTGTGCGTTTACCTTTTCAGTGAGGTTATAAATGACCCTGGCCAGTGCCTCTGCTACCAATTTGGTGTTCCTGCCGAGTTTCTTCACATCTACATGAGGCCTGTAAGACACAAACACGTGGGCAGAAAGTTAGAGAAAGTGAAAAAGTCAAGAGAGAAAGCAGAAGCCCTGAGGATCAAGGGAGAGAGGAGAAACCGATTACACAGCCTCCGTTTCCACGCAGGTGGGCTGAAACGCAGAAAGTTTGAGGAAAGAAGACTGAGCAAATATCAACTGACAGGTCAAGCGTGAAACTGCACCACAGAGCAGATAAATGGTTTACTAACAGACAGAGAGACAGCGAGTGGGATGTCTACAGCAGCAGAATAAGATTAAGGAATGGAGAGTGGGGGAAAAAAAAGGATGAAGGTGTTACTTCCACACTCTGAAACCGAAACCGAAACCCAAAACCTCACGCTGATTCCACATCTGACAAAAAGTGCATAAATACAGTCATGAACGATGTAAACTATGCACTGGTCACAACAC